TCACCCAATTGCCTATGCCGGAGCCGCCCTTATTAGTGTTAGTCGGGTCGGCATCAGCGTGCCCAGCTTTGGCAAAGTAGCGAGGAAGCCTTGACTCACGCTCGGCAGTGCCATCAGCAATGCCGGCGTGGTCACGGTCAGTGAACTTGTGGGAGCGAGTCACTGGCTGGTGTCAGAATCCAGACAATTGAGTTGTAGACAGCATTGAGTGTCCAGAGACTAGCAAGCTACTCAATGCTGTCTGCTCTTGAGTGTCAAGTCAGGCATACTCACTGTTTGGATGTTGTAGTGGATTGGGGTGAATGTGTCTTGTTTCAGGAATCAAAAGCAGGGGACGTCTTGTTCAAGTAGTCGGCAGCCGGCAACGGAGTGTCGGGGAAGCTAGAAGGTTCAGTAAAGTGTCACGAGACCAAAGCTATGACCAACAGAGCGGAGGTGAAGCATCGTGACCATGACGCCACTTCTGGAGCTCGTACCTTGCAGGAGCGTGTTTTGAATCACAATGAATTGCGGTGAGGATGTTTGAGGTTCAAGTTGTGCACGACGGTGCTCGTGTTAATGTAGGCAGCGTACTGGTGTTCAACAAAGGCTCGCGTGCTCTTGCGTGAGATGAGCATCAAGAAGCGGGGTTGAGGGTGGCTGCTTTTATGAGTGGTCCAGCATTGGACCCTGCAATGGATGCTTGGGAACCTCCGTTACTACCGCATACCCCAATGAGGCGTCTAAGCTGCCGAACATTCATCTTGAAGGTCCTGTCAGCGAGGATCACCGGTGCCTGAGCTGCAGAAAGGCATCGTGTGATGTCATAGCGTCGTGTGTCTGCATGGTTGATGGTGAGTAGGGCCGAAGAGAGCAATATTGCGGTTTCCTGGATCAATCGCTCAAATTTCCTTGCAGCAATGTCAAGTCGAACTGGCCACGCAAGCATTCCTGATGTTTGCGTGTATGTTGACGGCGTGTTTGTATCGTCCGCTCTCCCGCCGAATTCTGGGGTACTCTAGCGCTGTAGGGTACCCTCAGGGCTATGCTTCTCGCAGCCTAGCATGCGTAATGGCCTGAGATGAGGTGACCGCATCTCGCCGCTTTGTGACTGGCCAATTGGCGGTTCGCAGTAACTTATCACGCTTCTCCGAGGCCGGATTGAGCCAAAAATCGCGACGCGATCCAGGCGATTTATCAGCGGAGATACTTTCCCAGGAAAAAAATACTCACAACTTCTACAATCCTGCCCGACACTTTTGTTGTTCACCTTCCAGCATTCCACACGATCTTGCACATCGCCGCATACCCCGCCATGGCTGCCCCGCGCACTCTCCTGCTCTGCCCGCCTTCGCTATCGGCGCATCCAGAGGCGCTCAACAAGATATACGAGATCCATGATCGCTCCACCGCCGACTTGCAGATGCTGGATCGCATTGCAGCAGGCCTCGTACAACTGCCCGCCGCCACATATGACGTCGTCCTGCTCCTCACCGACGCCGACGGCACCACGCGCGAGAGCCACAAGCTGCTCGCCCGCGATGTCGCAAGCAAAGTCGCCGGCGCTCTGAAAGTCGGGGGAATCCTCAAGGGCCAAGGACGGCATACTCGACGGCGCAGCGAAGACGGAGGCGATTCTGGCGGGGCTGTCTGAGTCACCGAACGGCATGGTGAAGACGGAGCAGGTGGAGAGCGTGTCGATACCACTCAAGTTTGGCAAGAAGAAGACAAATGGCGTCAATGGTACGAATGGTGCAGTCAACCCAGATGGCTCGGTCCCGCTCAACCTCAACGGCAAGCGCAACCAGCCCGAGCCTGTGAAGCCAGTGGGTGTAGGTTTCGTGGACTTCAGCGACGATCTCGACGACCCCATAATCACAGGCGAAGATGACGACGACGACCTCATCGACGAAGACGACTTGATCACCGAGGAGGACATGGCACGACCTGTCATTCAGCGTAAGCGTACCTCCTCCTTGAAGTAAATACTTGCTAACGCACACTAGCACCAGAGTGCCGGCCCAAAGCCGGAAAGCGACGCCGCGCCTGCAAGGACTGCACATGCGGTCTGAAGGAGAAGATGGAAGCTGAGGACGCCGCGAAGCGCACGACTGCTGACAAAGCGCTGAACACAATGAAGCTGGGGGCGGACGACCTTGACGAGCTGGACTTTACCGTCCAGGGCAAGGTCGGTAGCTGTGGCAACTGCGCACTCGGAGATGCTTTCAGGTGCGATGGTTGTCCGTATATTGGTCTGCCTGCGTTCAAGCCGGGTGAGGAGGTGCGACTGCTGAATAACGATATTCAGCTGTAGACACTTGGGCGGGATGGTTTCTTTGAAGTTGCATACTAGGCGCTGGTGGATTATCCTGAGACGGTAGACTGATGCATAGTAACGGCGTATGAAGGTTACAGATATATCATGACCACATGAAATACTTCTTTCGAGATCAATCCATGTGAACAAATGATCGTCCACATGAAAAAGACTGCAAGTCTTCAAAAGGTGGCAGACGTACCATACCGAGATGATTTAATCATGTATAGCTTCACTCATACTACGACGGCCCCAGAGAGACATTGGGGATTGGGCATACTCATTAATATTCTGCCTATCGCACAGTAGCTACATAATC